CATTATGATTTTTTACAAGTGTATGTACACTTTTGACCACAACTGTAACTATGCATTTTTTCACATGAAGATCACGAACATACCTGTACCAGCTGTAGCAAATATTTGAGCACGTCATCATTGGGTAGACTCTCCAGTCTCCTTACTGCTAGTTTCCTGACAATCTCATCTGGGAAATCCATACTTAGCAGCTCTAGCGCCACATGTACATCCAGTTCCCCAGGATCCCAGAGTCCCAGTAGCCAGTGCACATCCTCCACCACCCTGCGATCCAGCCAGTTAATATTACGCAAGAAGTGGGGAAGGTTGGAGCCATACTGGACACTCTCCTCCCGAAACCTCTTGAGGTAATCCCTCTTGGTGTTAAAGACGGGTGATGGGGACCTCAGACTTACCCTTTCAGTCTTTGGAGGCAGAAGAAATTGCCCATGTGGAGAAAGAGAATCAGTGATGGGTGAAGTGCACTGGGTTGAGGAAGTAGATTTGTCAGGGAAAAGGTCAGAGGTTGGACTGCCAGACCCGTCATTGTGGCTGAAGGTGTTTGGGAGAACCACAGGGAAGCTGTAGCGGTCTAGAAGGAAACTGATGGCCATGGATTCATCAATATGTGGGTTTGTAGCGGAGGACAGCTTATCAGCTTGGTAGGTGATGGCTCCGTCCTCCAGGTCAGGATAGGACCACATGTGCAGGGTGTAGGGACCCTGACTCAGGACAGACCTGTAGGAATGAACAATGACATCACAGTTCACTAGTTTTTATAAACTGTGCTGTTCTCATCCATTTAAGTACATTTTGACAACAAAATAAATTCTCATTGAAACTCAGAATTTCATCTTCCCAACTACGTTCTCCTGCTCATTCTGGGTGGTGTCACTGTATTTCCAGTCTTACAGGAATGTAAAGTTGCTCCACAACATGTGTGTGGGTCAGGACTTACACATATGCCGATAAATTGACACTTTTGCCTTTCGGCTCAGCTCCTTCTTCACCTTCACAGAATGGAGCAGCACCAAAATAACTCAGAAACAGTGACTTGAGTTTGACAATCAGTTCAGAGTTAAATCATAAAAATAAAGACTTCTGACTTGATTTTGACTCCTGACTTAAGTCCTACAAACATGTACGAACAGGAATGGCTCTTCCATAGGTCACATATGCAACGGCCAAGGCCGTTTATTTATACGTTTTTAAAAATATCCGTTTGTCAAGTTATTACTGTAAACAGAACAGGATAATGTCGCTTTGAATTAAGTGAAGAACATAATCTTTGCATCCTTTTAAATGACACTGGTGACCTGTCCAGGGTGAACCCTGCCTCTCGCCCACTGACCACTGGAGATGGGGACCAACACCTGTCATGGCCCTGAAAGAATTAGCGTGTGTGTATGGGTGTGCATGCAAATGTATGTATATATCCTATATACATAAATCCATACCAGAAAGAATCGGGACAGTTTTGAGGGTGAGATGATGTCCAAGTGGATACTATCAAGGTGTACAGCCGAGTGTATGCCTCCTTAGATAAGCAAGATTTATCATTGTGTCTTTTAATGGTCAAAGTAAGAACACCACCGTTGTTGAATATATAAATATGAAAAACCTTCTCTAACATTCTATATTTGATTTTGTGCATTTCTTCCTTCTCATAAATGGGAAAAAGAAGTCACTCACTTGTTTAACTGGTTAAGCAAGTCAATGGCTTAAGAAGATAAAATATTGAACAAGAGTATAATCCTGAAACCTTTTTTACAGTTTATGCTGTCTCTAAAATATGTTGATTTAATAAGATTCTTTACAGTTTACAGTTGGGTTCAGCTTCATTTAAACTACTACGTTTTCTCTGCATCAGATTTAAGGTGAGTGACAGAAATGCAACTCTGTTATGACTGAATCAGATTTAGATATTCATCGCAATGGCTGTCTAACTGGTGAGAATATCCAGATGTGGTGTAACTTTTATTTCTAAATCGCACTGGATAAGTTGGACGAAACCAACTCTGAGGTGAAGGAGTGTGGAAATAAATGTTGGTCCACTTGCTCCATTGTTTTGATAGAAAAGTATTGTAGCCCCACATTTCCCAGACTAATATATTACAGCCATGCACAGTGTGTTCAGAGTTCTCGTTATGTACAATTTAGACACTAAATTAGAACCTCTTCAGAAAGTACACCTTTTTACCTGCTCTCTTTATCATAATAAGGAAGGTGAAATCTTAAGAGTTTCCAAATGCACTGAAAAGCTGTAGCAAGGCTAATTTAAATACAATATACATAGATTAACATAGTAAATCAAGTCTGTGATTCAATAATGTTATGCCCTGAAGTGATATTTTAATAGGAAAATACTGCATACTTTAATACCTACAGAGTCTTCCTCACAAATTGCAAAACCTGCAACAGTTTTGATGTTAGTGAGTTGCAACATGCAAGTCCAAACTGACAAGGAAAATAACATTTCTGATTCATTTTGATGCCTACCACTGATGGTGGCAAGCTACTAGAGAGTAGCCACAGAGGCAAGGATGCCATATACAGGCACCACCAAGACTTATGACCACCAGCAGCAGGCACGGCGAGTGAAGTGTCTTCACAGAGGGAGACGGAGACAGGAGCAAACCAGCAACCAACTGACTGTGGCGCAAACTCCTACCACTGCTGTCACCATCGTGCAGCATTTTAATGCAAAATCCGGGAAAATCCAAAGATTTATTAAGAGAAATACAATATAATGCTAAAGTTGGTGTCCACACAACTGAATTAACTCTAAAAGTTAACTAAAGTTCTAAAAAAGGTTCTAAAACTCACCGGTGATCTATGAGAAGGAGGTTGACGAAGTAAAGGATCTTTGTCTTTCCTTTCTGAGTGTCTGTATGCTTGTTGAGTGAAACCTTGGAGTCTCTGGATAATCCTGGCTTTGGGTCCTTGGTTGTTGGAGAGACGTCGCTAGCACAGGTATTAATGGTAAAGCTCAGCTTGACTCCACGAGGCAGGTCCCGGAGGAGAATGTCAAATTCCAGCCACTCGTTCCAAAGTACTTCGTCTCCAAAGAGCTTGGGAAGGGAGGATACTGAGCAGAGGACTTTGCCGCCATAAAGTATGGATGCTTCAACATAGACAGACTGAGGGGGCTTGTTTGGCAGTTGTGGAATATCAAAGCCAAGCAGTTTCACTCTGAACTTTCTGTTGCAGTCCCACAAAGAAATCATGAAGATGTCATCCAGATCTTTGCCTAGAAGACTAAGATCATCATGGGAGCTGAACTGACCACTGAAACCATCAACAAGTGGCCAGTCTACAAATCTGACAGTGTCTGCAGCAAGTTGTGAGACAGGAACAACAGAAAGGTGGAGATCCTGATTGGCTTTCAAGCACTGTCGAACCCAGAGGAAATCACAAAGACAGTTTTCACCAGACAAGAACTCCTCCCTACCTGAGACCTTCAAAACCAACTCTTCAGAAGAGTTATATTCGACCCTTTGATCTGCCATAACCCTTCTAAAAACCTCAAGAAGAACATCTGGAGTTGCCTTCAAATCAACCTGTATGCTGAAGCTGATCTTGCTCATGTAGTGCAGGGTGAGACAAAGCTTCCTGTTTAGCCATTCTTCAAGCTCATTAGGGATGGGTGCCTGGGTAACCCAGGGCTCTGTGGCATACAGAACCTTATCCCGATTCCTCAGCTCCAGCCTTCGTGGAGATGCCAGCTTCCTGCGGGTGAATGTAAGTTCACCAAGTCTGTCTGACGCCTCATTGTCCAGATCATGTCCAATCAAGTAATTCAAACACTCCTGTTGATTTTTCTTTTGTTCTGAATCACCGGCGACCAGAGGCTTTGCTACTATGTGCGCCACTAGACACGGAGAATCATCATGTGACCATGGGATATCTAATGTCCGGATGATCTGACAGTCATCATGGGCTTCATACCAGTCGTCCCCTCTGGCATACAACAGGATGTATTTCTCAGGATCCAATATTGCAAATGGATCAGGATGGCAGTTTTGTTCTTGTGCCTGAAGAGATGGAGACAGACATTTCAGCACTGTTCATAACACAACACCAGATGTAAGTAGCCAAAAACCATACTCAAGTAACAGTGGCACTATTTAAAGTCATGTTTACTCAAGTAAAAGCAAAAAGTAGGTGTTTGAGAAATTCCACAAGTAATTAAGTATTTCATAAAAAGTCTCAAAAATCAGCCACAACAGTGAATTTACCTTCATGCAAATGCGTAGCCTCAACTGGCTGATGCTGCACTGCGCAGGGAGGATGACGGTCACAGACTCAAAATCCCCGTTTACACTGTTGTCTTCATCAGGCCTAAACTCACAAATAAACTTCAGGTTGTTCGCTGAGCCACCCTGAGTTCTCATTTCAGTTGGGGAGCCCACACAATGTGGAAGAGCCGTCTGATTTGGGAAGACTGCTGCAGCCATTGCTATGTTAGAAAAGCCTGAGCAGAAACAAAAAGATATTCAAGGGTTAAAGTTGATGACAAAAGTTTTTAAAATGTTGAAAATTACATAGCAAAAAGAAAGTATAGCAATTATAAGATTCTAAGCTCACAAAAGCTGGTGCTGAGTCCATGAGAGGTTCCACCTGTATGTTAGTGAGAGACTATCTTCCTCTTTTTGTTGCTGCTTTTGAACTTCCTCATTCCTCTGCACAGAGGCAGATGCTGATAATCATTTACTGACAAAATACAGCCAACTTCCTTCTTCTCCTTTAACAACTAAAGCAAAGACTATGTCAGTTTGACGGCTATTGATGCAGAACAGACATAATGAACACTACTAGTCAGTTGGGAAAAGCGGAAAATCTAAACTTCTGCAATTCAGCTTTAAATGACACATGTAAACAGAACAGCAGTCCAAGATTTACTGGAATAGTAGAAAAACCTGTTTAAGCTGTTTGGCTCAGTAGTTTGTGAAGGTATGCTCTAATGGAATGTAGCTACATGTATGCTTCATTTGTTTTATTATGTTTAGTTTCATAAATGTGTTCAACCTTTTTCATTTCTAACAGACAACAATAATGGAAATAACTGTGAGCAAACAACAAAGACAAAACAAAAACAAAGACAGGGCAGATTAGATGGTTAAGTAAATCTAAACATCCTGTTCTGCCATCTTCAAACTTCCTTAACCAATGACTGATTTACTATGAGGTGGCTGCAGGGCTGTAGAGGTACCTATTAATATGTGTTCACTGATATTTAAGGTGAGTTTACAAATTCCATTAATGAGGTCCACATTTCCTAAAACTCCTCAACCTCACAATGTAGCACCAGAGATTGGGACATTTCATTTATCCACAAATCAGAGTTTCGTCCCTGAACATGTTTCCCAGTTTAGAGCTAATGCACATTTACCTTGTAACAAACAGTGATTGGTTAGTGTGTTTTTTCTCTTTATGCGCTTTTAATTCCTGATTAAATTGATTCATTTTTTTTGCCGTGAATTTGTAGTCAATTCTTGTTTGAGGAAAGCCATTTTTGGGCTCCATATATAATGAGGAATATTTTTTATTTATGAACATAGTTAGGATCATGGATGGTGTGTTACAGAAGAGGGCTGAGGGGTCAAATTGCCTGAGTAAAGACTTGTGGAAGCGTTGTGTCTAAAGATGGTAGCTTGGCAACAGAACCATTAGTTCAGCTGAACTTATAACTGCAGAAATACAAATTACACTCTGAGTGTTTCTGAATAGAACAGATTACTTATAACTGGAAACTCACATGCACCTGTAGACAACAAGTCAGAGCCTGCATGACTGTTTCCCTGGCAACACATCTGAATCCAGCCGGACATAATAGTAAGATGTATGCATAATCACAATACAACACTTTGACCCTTTTGAATTCTGCACCCACAAATTAACCAAAATATGAAAAAGCCATCTACTATGACTAATAAAAACCAAACAATATCTAGCTAGCATTCAGTTTTTATGATCCACAAATCTGGATCAAACTCCAAGAAAACTGCAAAACAGCTGAAACACTGAGTGCCTTTAAGTCTCTACTAAAAACCCACCTGTTTAAAGTTGCTTTTGAAAAACGATCAATGAAACAACATTCTGATGTGTAATGATGGCATTTGACAATTGTTGACTGTGTGTTCTACAATTGTATATTTTTTGTGTGTCTGCTTTTATGATGTTCAGCACTTTGAAATGCCTTGTTACTGAAATGTGCTATACACGTAAACTTGACCGATTGTTTAATTGATTAAAACTAGAAAACACAAAACTAATTAAATTAGACAAACAAATTGTCGCTGTGAAAAACTAAACTATAATGAAAAACCCATAACTATTATAACCTTGGACTGCTCCTGCATAACCAAAGCTGTCTTTGTTGAAAAAAAAAATCATTTATTCTATGTAGGAAGTCTATGAGAGGCTTGAATAATTTTATTTCAAATTGACAGCAAGGCCAATTATGGCCTTGAATGAGCAACTCCTTCTGCCTCCCAGACACTTCGCAAAGTCCACTCTGCAAAAATGATCAGTCCACTGTCACACAGGGCTCCACAGGAGGTAAAATACTTATTGTCTGTACTGAAAAGTGTGACTGTAACTAGTAAGTGTTGTGATGTGACACACAGGAAAATAATCTATTGTGTGTCATATGAACTGAATAGAAAAAAACCTAGAAGATAAATATTCCTACTTCACTGACATTATGTATGGTCACACTAAGTGGAATGGAACCATAACAACCCCAGCTTAATCAGAGAACATGTTTCATTGAGGATCGAGTCTCATTACGCTGGTGCTGAGCCTCCTTGGGTCTAATTTAGAATCTGATTAACTGTATTCATATCCACTGAAGCGGTAAAATATGTCTCAGTGTTTCACTTTAACTCCGCGTCAGGAGATTTACACACTAGTGACAAATCATCTGAAAAGTTTCTAATTTGTGAGGAGTTGTGAGTGGCAATTAGTTTACTGATATGTATATCTGAAAAAAAGAATCTGTCATAAGGTGGGGTTGGTAGTGATGAGGAGAGACGCAGAGATCCAGATTATGGTGATGATGAGTTTAATGAAGAGACGAACACAGTCTTGGCTCAGGCAGCACAGCAGCAAACAAGCACGTAGCTAATACCGGTAGCAACTGACATATGGACTGAACAAAGAAATAAACTACCTCAGGACTCAACAGTACTACTGAGAGGAAACAAACTGACTCACAAGACGTTACGTTAGACAGGGACCCGACGAAGAACACAGACGACAGGTGAGACTAAAAACACACGGGGTAATCAAGGGAACGAAACAATCAACTGGGAAGACGCAGAGACAGAGACACACGAAACAGAACCACACAGAAAAACTCAAAAATAAACATACAGAAACACGGATCATGACACAGATGGCTGTTTCTTAGTCACTGGAATAAGAAACACGTAACATGATGGATCTAAACGCAGGGAGACTCAGTTGGTGCAAAGAGTCCAGCCTCGCATTGGAAGCCTAATTATTCAAGTTTCTATTGGAGTTAAATGACTAATAATTATTTCATCTACAAAAATGAATGGAACTGGTAAAAATGTTGTTGAATAGTGAATTCTTTATTACCTCTTCTTTATGGAAGCCACGGGTTCGCCTCCGGCGCCGTTGCCGGTGTTATGCCCCCGGACCCGCCATCGTAGGTCCGCCTCTTCGCTACCTGATCGACAGTTCACGACAGGCCCTGCCCGTTTAGCCTATTTTCTGGACTGAGTTATTTTGTGTTTTTCCCTGAACTCTGGCACCCCGTCCAGAGCCCAAGCGCCCACCCTGGTTGGGTTGTTTTTTTTTTGTTTTTTGTTTTTTTTAGGGTGTCTTGGAGCCGCCCTTGAGGGGGGAGAGGGGTGCTGTGAGGATTTGAGTTTTCTGTGTGTTTATTTAGGTTTCTGTCAGTTGAGTCTGTGTGTTGTCCATCTAACCCTTGATTGACCCCAGCTGTGTCTCGTTCCCCTGATTACACTCTGTGTATTTAAATCTATCTGTGTCTCTTGTTCCTGGTCATCTTTGTCTGTCTGAAGTCATCTTTATTATCAGTTGCTACCAGTGTGAGAGTTTTTGCCGTTGCTTGCCTGTGCTGCCTGGAAAACTGTAACCAGTTACTACCAGCGTCTGAGCTCCTTGCCTCTGCTGCCTGGATTTGTGTGTTATTTTTAATTAAACCATTATTTCTTTCACTTCAACCTGGGTTCACCTCATCTACCTCACCACAATTCTTGAAAATCTGATTGGCATACCAGATAAATGTACAGCTTTTCTTGGCACATTGAATTAGGAGGAGGCTGTAGCCAGGACTTGCTGGAGATCAAATTAAAGGGAGAAATTGTTCAGCAATCTTTGCAATTATAGAGGTAAGTAATTGGAAGCCATTAGGTGTCGCCATACCTGCCTTTGTGTCTTTCATTGTGATGTGGCTATATGAGGTATAAGTCTCTTAGGAAGTCAGAGGTATCATGGGAAACTTGGAGTAACCTAAGCAGTTCCTGTTCACACTATTATATTAAACTAATAACGGCACTTATTCCACAGGCGTCAAACACAGCTGCAAACCAAAGGCCCCAGGAGGAATCGCTGAAAAAAGTGTTGCCATTATGCTTGCAAAATCTCATACAATCGCTGAAAGGGTCCAATATTAAATCTTAAAAGAATTTATTTTTGTCTCTGAGTTTTTTCTTCCAGTGGCCACTAAGCAGGTGGGTTTTTGGTCTTGATTTAAAGGAACTTGGCGTTACTGCTGTTCTGCAGTTTTCTGGCAGTGTGTTAGGCATAGAAGCTGAATGCTGCTTCTCCATGTTTGGTTCTGGTTTTGGGGATGCAGACCAGAATCAGAATACCTGAGTGGTCTAGAAAGTTGATTCAGCAACAACAGATCCTTAATGTATTGTGGTACTATAGGCCGTTCAGTGACATAAACTTGTAAAATTTTAAAGTCCATCATCTGAGATACAGTGAGCCAGTAAAGGACTTAAGAACAGTAAACTGGAGCGATGTGCTCAGTTTTCCTGATTTTACTTCAGATTAAAGGCTGTTTGCCTCAAGGTACATGGTGACAATGACTCTATTGTTGATGTTGAATGACCCCTACTACCAAGACAAGAAAACAAATTACTCAAGAACAGGATTAACCCCTTGAATGATCTTGATGATGAATCTTTGCGACTACTTCCAGATATACAAAGGCAATGCAGCTGAAATCTTTTGTTTCCTTCAGAAAGTCACTTTGTGTGAGTCAGTGATGAGAGATGTTTTGTGTATATTTTGGGAATGTGGACACCTTGATCAGGAGACAGATGTGCATATCACCTGCGTAATTGAATCAACACTATACAATAGTGCAGAAGATTTGAAATACAACATATGAACTAAGGAATACATGAAGTTCTATGAAGTTATCTGCAATTGTTTTATGTTGTAAGGCTTCAATTTATGATTCCAAGAGTTTTTAATTCCATCAATTCATGGAATACATCCACAGCTGTCACTCCAACATCTGGAGAGGACGCCAACGTCTCCTCTGATGGCTAATAGATGATGAGCACTATAGCACCATGACTGAATTATGAAAATATCTCATGTAATTGTTGAAACTGCTGAAACACAGTTCCTGTAAATCAAGGCTAAAATCACATTTGCTTAGAGCTGTCTTTAATAACTAAAAATTAATTAATTCTGGTGTGGGTCACAACTTTTGATTACTTTTTCTATTCTATTTATCCTGCAATTTATAATGCAATATTTATTTGTTTTGTACTTTTTCTTATATTGTGTTATGCTTTTTATGATGTAAAGCAATTTGTACAGTACTGTTCCTGAAATGTGCCATATAAACAACCTTGACCTCTTCCCTCCTCAGTCTCAGCGAAGATGGCAGCCATGGATTCTCATAGAGCTCTGAGATGCAGCTCGTCTATCTGCATTTTACTAAGAAATAATTAATGACCATAATGTTTTCCTCAAATGAAAACTAAGCCACTTCTTAAGTATTTTAGATTTTATTTTTAATTAAAGCACATATAAACATCCCCAGCAGTGCTAATGCATAAATATTTTTAATCTGTTAAAGCAACTAAGAAACCATAGAGGTTTACATTTGTATAACAGTCATGACAGTTTGGATACCCATTAATAATAGCTTTACAATATGTGTCACATTTATTTTTTCTTTTTTACACAAAAGTTACATAAATTAAGACAGTTCAGTCACAACAACTGCAGATTCCTGGCATGCTTGTAAACCGCAATTTTACATTCATGGTTTGCATAAAACTATCTTGCTTGACTAAAACAACACAAAAGCAACATCACTTGCATGTGGCAAAGTTCCCAAAGAGTGTAGAAACAGAACAGGACAAAATGATGGATTAAATGCTTCACTTTTACCTTGTGAATAAAATATTTAATCACTTAAGCATTGATGTGAAAAGACATGATTTTCAGTCTCTTTGCTTTCTCTGATTTTAACAGCTCCTGATTACATGCTGAACAAAAATGTAGTTTGTATATTGTATAAAGCAGAGTGTGTGCAATATACAATATACAAAAGACATGTGTAAAAGACATATTTATGTCTTTTGCACACTGTGCATCATAGTGTTCCGATGCTTTCAAATTCTTTTAATAAGATGATAATAAAAAGCATACAGCTTTACCACTGGCTGTATGGACTATATGATGACCTCATGATGTGCACTGCTAATCAGCTGGCTGAAAGAAGGGTACTGCATACAATACATTTGGCTACTTCGAAATATTTCTGGTTGCATAGAAGACAGATGGCCAAAGGATAGAAACTAAGTCAGACTAAACTACTCTGTTTCTGTAAGGCTGTTTTAAAACTCCACTTTGCAAGCTATGCCCATATGTCAGTTAAGCAGCCAACTACAGGCTCTGCCAGAGAAGATAGCTAGACTAATGAATGTTGTAGTCAGTGGTTACAGGCTGTTAAGAGCAGATGGAGCACAGTAAACAATATCAATAAATAACTATGCAGTTATATGTTGCAATATATAAATTCTATGTTACTTGTGCCATACATGTACAATATGAAGTCTGTTTTGCAATAATGGTATGGATATCATTTTAGTTGCAATAACCAATGTTTTTTAGAAGCAGCATTAACATTATACCTAATCAATTAGATCTTTCTATATCTTTTTTAAAAATCCATCCACTTTCTCCAATTTTTTAGCTAAATACTGAGGTATGTTTACTTCCATGGTGACCCATGACAAATACTGAAAATCTTATAAGACATGAGGTAGTTGTCTTTAATTTTCTTAATCCTGGCAATGATGCCCCAATTTGAAAAGCCTTCAAATTGGGTATTAATGTTGAGGTATTAATATCTTTCATCTATGTATTGTGTTGAGATGCTAACTAGCCTAGCATGGGCTAGCTTTCCAACTAAGGAAAAAAGACCATTGGTAAGATATGTATTTAACTTAATTATTATTGTGTTACCCTAATGCAATAACAATTAGGTTAAATACATATTTATTTATGATACTTTGTATAAAAATTATAATGACATAAATTAAGATGCAATTTTAAGAAATGGGAAAAATATTAAATATAATTTTCACTTATGTATAACTGACATATTTATATAATTTCACTGATTCTTGAGAATAGGGACAAAATGGGTTTTAATTTTCCCTTTTTTTATTATTTCTCAACTTTATGTATGCAAATATGACAAATAATGTTTTGGAAATGTAAAGATGCTAAGG